AAGATTGGAAGGCACTTCCTGTATTGTCCACTGACCCCACTCAGGGAAGAATTAGCTACAGCAAGTTGCCCAGAGCTAACCAGTCTGGTTTTGAGTATCTCCACAATGGAAATGCAGTATCTTTCTCTGAGCAACCTGTTCCAGCAATCAATTGCCACAATAGTAAAATAAAATGTTTAAGTAGGATTTCCTGGGTTTCAGTTTATGGCCATTTTCTTTTGCCCTTTCACCAGTGTTGCATTCTAAACGTGTTCTCAGAGGGGAGTTTAGGTGTGGTTGCATCCACAGAGTCTCAGATTTGGTCAACAATTTGCATCTAAAGGATTGTATGTGCACAAGCAATCCTCTTCTATCACTTAGCTAAGACTTCAAAGGTTAGCATGCTATTAATCACTTACCAAGAATCTGTTGCACCAAGGAATCTCTCAAACTTGAGAAGTAACCTTGGAAGAAGTTCTCACTAAAGAAGAGATCTTGGCATGCAGCTTATTGGTGTACAGGAGAGCTCAAGAGGCCCTAGGTTGTCCACTACATATGAAGTAAGATAATTGACTCATAGTCATATTTGCAAAGCAACTACAGATGCTATTTTCTTCCAAACTTGGCTTGAGTTAGACCACGACGAACACTATGGACTGGTGGGCACAGGTGAGCGAGTTGCTCAAATTAACCCTTAGCTATTATGCTGTTGTATGTCTCCCCTGAATCCACTTTGAGTCTGATGCAGCCATTACAGTTGCCACTGGTGGTAATCACTTGAGTAGTGTTACAGGAAATAAAGGACAGATTGGGGAGCGAGAGTACATCATCACAGCTGGATATCATTGAAATAAGCCCAGCCAAATATTTTTAATTCTCTCCCATTAGGTATTGATACACATTGATAAGATGCCTCCTGAGCTTTCTCTTCTCCAGGCTAAACAATCCCAGAATTTGAGTTTTAAAATTCCAACTCCCAATCACCTTCAAATACCTAGAGAAATACACTGTTGCAGAAACTGCAGAAACTAGTTGAAATTCAAACCTGCTCTGGGGTATCTGACTGATAAAAACATGCACATTTGCAGTGCAGGCAGTCTTGTGTTAAAAGTTACACCTTCCAACAGTGAAAACAATCCTATATCGCGTCCCTTGAGATCAGTGATAAATTGCACTGAATTTATTACAGGTTAAAGGAATACGGAAAGCAAAATGAAGAAACAAATGGAAGGAATATATCCTTTAAAGGATACACATTAAGATCAACTCTGTTGTACGAGGGAAAAAACAAACGAAATAAAGCATGATTTAGAAGGAGTAAGAAAGGTAACAGAGGATTCTGTAGCAGTAGATGTAATTAAAGAAATTGAACTTCAGTTATTAAAAGATGTAGAAGAAACACTGAATGTTCACTCAAAGAATATTCCAGCTACAGACAGAACCCTCAAATCATGCAGAAACCAGGCCACAATTAAAAAGGACTTAGAAGGAGTAAGAAAGGTAACAAAGAAGATTCTGTAGCAGTAAACGTAGTTAAAGAAATTGAACTTCAGTTATTAAAAGATGTAGAAGAAACACTGAATGTTCACTCAAAGAATATTTCAGCTACAGACAGAACCCTCAAATCATGCAGAAACCAGGCCATAATTTAAAAAAAAAATTAAAAAATAAAGGATTAAAAATTATTGCATAGTTACAGGTCAATACAGCTGAGCAGACACCATAAAGATGCCTGTCCTGTCTAGAAGAATTATTTATCTTTCCAGTACCATAAGCTAAGTAGCACTTGGTCCTGCAGAGACATAAAAAAGCATGCCAAGTGTCCTCTTACCTCTTTTCCTTCTTCAAAGATCTTTCTGAAAAGGCAAATATGCCCTTCATAGGGCATCTGCGGTTCCCTGGTCCCACACACTGAGGACTTCCTATTAGGTGTCATGTACATCCCTCAATCATGGGCTTTTTTAGGATCCTCAACTTGTGTTTCTTGCAGGTCTTGTCTCAGTGGGGTTCTGGTAAACTACTAGAACAAGATGTATACAGCCACATACTGTTTGCAGCCAGTCTGGTTTTGACACTAGCTCAAGTTTTGTCGCTGCTAACTTACATCATGGTCTTCATTGTCAGCTTGTTCATATTCCATTTGCTTTGACATTTCTACCCACTTGGTAAGTTTCTTCCTCCATGACAAACCGGTTCTTGTGCAATCTCTTCTGCAAGCTTTCTTGGCGCTGTTTCTTAGACTCAGCTCTGATCCACAGGACATTATTCTATACCAGAGCAGTACAGATTTCACAGGCCTTATACGCTGATGCACTTTGATTATACTACTGGCTGAGGATGGCTCATTTTAGAACAGGATGAACTGGAAAGCCACTTTCATTGCTTCCATCAGAGATGCACCACCAGCTTGTGTGGTCTCTACAGAGCCTGCAGGGTAAGTTGTCAATAGACTCACCACCAGCTGACTCCAAGACATGCTCTTGCCTTGGGAAAAAAATCAGAGTTGCTCCAGAACAAGGACACTTTCATCTGCTTCTAACAAAAAGGAGCAGGTGTCTTCTCCAATGACAAACTTGAGCGCAGAAGAGAGATCAGGAGGTTTCTGCATGACCAAGCAGACACTATAAATGTTGAAGCTATTTCTCCTGTCTGAAAGGAAACACAACCATCTACACCATCAACTTGGTACACCATGACCCTATATAGAAAGAAGAAAGTTTCAGAATCTTCTCATCTCCTCCTTTCAGGTTTAATTTTGGGAAAGGCTGTTTAGGCAGTTCCATTCAAAGTTACCACTTGGAGTGCCATAACCTGAAATAACAGTACAAGTACAATGTCATAGATCAGTCACCCATTTAAAGGTGATACCAGTTTTATGCAATATAGCTCAGTACTAAGGAAAATACTTGTTATGTAAAATCAAATCTTATTTTAGGCCTTAAGTTCCCTTGTGATATGCTTCAATAGGCCTAAGCAGAAATTAATACAGAAAAAAAGATCTAATCTTGAAGATTTCCACCCTGTGTTCTTTGAATTGCCTTTGTTTCTTTTAAACAGCAAACTCAACAAAATAGAATGCTAAAGAACAATGCTCCCATGAGACTTAAAGGAGTAGAATCATGGGAAGTTTCTGCTGAGCAAAGCTCAAGAATAGGAATGCTGCAGCTTCTAAGATTTCTACTTTTAAACATTTAGTAGCTATACAATCTTTAAAAAAAAAAAAAAACCAACCAAAAAAAACCACCTTTCATTTGACTTTATTGTCGTATGGCAGCATTAAACACCCTGAACAGATGAGTACAAGACGAATGATTGCTGTTAGTAAACTGCATACATTACAACATCTCACCTTTGCCAGTCAGTGAAAAAAGAGCAGAACAATGTCCATTATACTTTTTCCTCAACAGAAGGTAAAACAGTGCCACCAACTGCTTTTCCAGGGTATGCCCTTGCCTTTTGAGACAGATGCAGAAAGCTGGATTTGACACTTTGCAATTAAGCAAACCCACGCAAAGCCTACCTCCCTCACTCCAACACTGGATACTTCTACCAGGTTACACATCTACAGCAATATTTCAGTCACTAGTAGAGCTGCACAAAGGAAAAAAGTTCTTCTTTGAACTTGCTCCAGTACACCTAATGCCTCAGGATAGACAAAAGGCTGAATCACAGAAAAATCAGTGTTTTTTAATCCTGGGAGCAGGAGATTCTTTGACTTTACATGTCATCCTCCCACAGCCACTACTCGTATGCAACTCACAGTTCATCTTGAAGATGAAGGCAATACCATATTGCACCTGCTGCGAAGACTGTCTGCAGGGCCTGAAGACCCAACTATTTTTCCAGCTGTTTCCAACCGTTTTCATTTTGCATCACCCCTTTATCACACCAGAAAACAAGCATCAATCCCTCACTTTTAAACTGGGTCACAGAATCATAGAATAACAGGTTGGAGGGGGCATCATCTGGTTCAGCCTTTCCTCGGCAAAGGTCATTCTTTATTATCACAGATCATTCATTATAATCAACATGCCTACCCAGCAGTTTATCTTCTGTTCCTACATGGAACATTCATTTAATCCAAGGATCAACAGTGATCAGAACTAGTAATACTCAACCATTGTTACGACAAAAAGACTGCTTCCGGACTTACTTCTGTTAAAAAGAAACCAGCACTCATGCACATCTTGCTTATCTAGTTTATCGTCTACTGATGGAGAAAGCGGCAACTATAGTTTGTTCCAACATAACAAAGTAGCAATTAAGACTCTACAACTGCTTCATTCTTCATTAACAAAATACTCTGAGCCAGTTTACAACAGGAAGCAGCATCTCAAATTACTCAGGCTGAAGAACATGCAGGCAAGTATTTTCAACAACAGTCCAGTATGATTCAGAATTCTCTCTTTAAAAACAATTTGACTTTTAACAGGAACCCTGGAAAATTCCTAAAAGGTTAGTCACAGTGTGTGAAACTATATCAAAGTCACAAGTTAACATGAAAACTGTAGAATCCAAATAGACTTGAGAGTTCTCTCTCTGCTTCCTGAGGTGACAGTTAAAAAATGCATGTGCGTGTTCACAATAGAAAATTTGGAAGCAAGTTTCATTACATTTACACTGCTGCTTGATAAATGTCTAAAAACTTCCCTTGCTATGTAACTAAATTGCCAACTATTCACTTTTAAGGAACAGTTTTTATTCTGATCTCATTTTTTCTTTCGAGTAAGTAAGCCCTTAAGAGAACTTATTTCTTTCCAGGCACAAAATCAGAAATTTTTCACTGGTGCTGAGTATCCAGACAACAGTTACCCAGCAACAACCAGATGGTCATATGAATTCATACTAGTTCAAGACAGAGTTATGGATCTGCTCGAAGAAAGTATTCACATGACTTAGAATTAGTACAATACATTTGTAACAGTAAATATACAAAAGACATCGAGGTATTCTAGACATTTATTTTTCAGCGTACAGTAACACACATTTAAAATAAAGCTCAAGTATATAGTGTTGCTTAAACTAAAACATATTCTAGTCCATAATTCATGGAGTTACACTGAAGTTCAGACACAAACAGGAATACCTGTTGAATGATTTACAACTCTTTTGGTCTGTTCAACAGAAAACGGACCAACTGAAGCAGAACTTCATCATTAAAGCCTTTCACACTACCATCTTCCACAACATCATACAATGGCTTACTTTCTGTACCCCAACAGATATTTTTCCGAGGGTTATTTTCAATAGTTTCTACAGTTAGTGCTAAAGTATTTAGCTGGTAACAAAAGAAAGCAAAGTATTTTCCATCAGTCACTACAGCCTGAGATACAAAAGGACGCGTCACATCTGCTTCACTCCAGAATCCTACAAAATAAACAAACAACATTAGTTATACAGGAAATTTGTATCAGGACACACAACTAAATCCCAATCCTGAAATACAGAAAAGTACTGGTAACTGCAAAAGCAGCTTAGCAGGGGAAGATGTCCTGACTGCTTTAGCAGTACAAGCATTCTTCATACAGACTGAATAAAATGCAACCACCAATCAAGGATATTTCCAAGATCAGGGACACAGCATCATATTTGCATTTTGTACACAATTCCCTATCACTGACTGATAAAACCCTCACATTGAGCAGCAAAGTTTTCAGAAATTACAGAAGTTATTAATACATCCAAGTCCTTCAAGTGACCTGAGGGGAATGTCACTGCCCTGTGAGAAGTGTGGAACAGTTGAAAGACACCTGTTTCACAACAGAAGCATCCATATGCATGCGTGAGCATAACTGGCTACAGTGACCAGCCAGACAATACTCGGAACACTATGTCAGTAAGTATTAATGCTTCAAGTAACTCCCACTGAGCCTTAGTAGTCTTTTTTAAATATTTTCCTTATATATTTATGGATGTGTGCTAGCACACACAGTAATATTCTTCAAAGCTATTTGGTATCATATGCAGCGAATACTGCGAGAAACTATTAGAGAACAAAGAAACTGCTTGATATCTACCACCCTTCACCAGAACAAATGTCAGTTAAGTGAATGCAGGATTGAGGTTTCTGCACAGGCTCAGTGTTATATATGAAAAAATATTTTTCTGCAGAATTATTTCCCCCGAGTCAAAAGTACTCAATGACAAAATCTTAACTAACTGCCTTGTTAAGGTCTGCTTCATTCATTGGTACAATGAAATTTAAAATAGCCACTTCAAGGATGGTCTTCAGAGAAAAGGCATGAGAAAAAGGTGGTGAGGAGAGAAGGTTAGAGAACTTTAGAGTAGGCATTCATTACCGGGAAGAATTTGTCAAGTTTGCTGTCTCACCTTGATACATTGCCTGTGCTGCTGTCCAGGCAAAGAGACTTGCAATACCATTAGCCCGATAAACAACTTCAATCTGATCCTCAAGATGTGCTTTTATAAATCTCTCCCGTTTTAGTTTATCAGGAATAAGATGAAACTGGGTATGTCCATAACAGCACGGATCTGCTACCTTTGATCCTGTGTTCCCCAAAATGAAAAAAATTGCTATCAGTAACGATCTTCATTATGCATACGAACACATCTTCACTATCAGACTCCACACAACAGAAGGTTAGAACTTCTACTGTCGATCTGTATAAATGTTGAGATTCCTGCATTTCTGGGTGAGACTGGAGGGCTTGCTCCACTCTAAAAGGCAGGAGTTAACAGACTAAAACATCTCTGAGGATATGAATCAAAATTCAAAGTCAGTTTTTTGCCAATTTTCTATTCAACCCACTCCTTCAAGTAAATCTGGTCACAGAGTACCATACACACAGGTGGATACTACTCCCCACTGCCTAGCGACACAGAATCTCAATAGAGATTTATATACTATATATGTTTATGTAATATACAAAAAAATATACTAATGTTTTCTATCGATGGCAGGAGAAACGGGTGGGGGGGTGTTTTGGAGTTCAGGGTTTTTTTTGTTATTTTGGTTTTGCACACAAAGAAAAACTAGTTAACGTTTCACAACTAGAAACTCGTACCTATGAACACCTTGTTTTCATATTGCCTTTTGAACAATGGCAGTTTGGATGGTTTGTGATCAATAACAGGAACATCTCCAAGATTTGCCTCTAGCGGTACAACCTTGTAGGAAATAGAAGAAAGAAAAATCATGACCTAGGTCACATTTCTGACACCAGGCCACACATACGCCTTTTTCTGGTCAGACAGCAGAACGTGCAAGTCTTGCTTACATACAACATTTATATAACTTTAACCAAAGTTCATTTTTTGCAACAGAACTTCTTGTCTTATGATACATGCTAGTACATGCATCTTACATTGATGTCTGAATTTTCTGCAGTGTACAAGAAACATTGTGTGAAATGGTTCTAACAAAGCTGCCAGTTGGTATCATCTTGAAAACCAGAATACGCCTCTGTAGAAAAGGAGTAAAAACCATTTCTAGCAGCTATCAATAAACTAACCTGAACCAGCAGTGTTAGTTTACAAGTATTCACTGTTTTGCACTAAGTAACATTTTTAATTGCCTATACACTTCCAAATCGTCAAGATTTGTAACATCTGAGTAACAAACCTAAGCAAATTGTACAATTAAGTTAGCAAGAAATGTTCAGCATTTACAGAAAGTGAAGCACAGTTTTCTGTCTGTGGTGGGAACTGGACAAAAGAGACCCTCACAGGCCTTACTATTACCACTGTATAAACTTAGAGAAAAAGACTGGAATATTTAATCAGCTTCCAGAAAACTGAACATTTCAGAAAACAAGTGTTAAGCACTAACAGAGTAACAGAGCACACATTCAGATTATACTCTTACACCATTCTTTTCCACTCCGTTTCTCTCATCTTATTATCCTCCACCGAGAACATTCCACCCTTTTCTTATTTTTGCTTCCTTATTTTTGCCTTACAAGCACAAAATAAGTTTAAAACTCCACTTAGTGAGGTGTAGCAACATGCATTTTAACTAAAGCACAGAGATGAGCAACGTGAAGTTCAGAAGACTGTCTCAATATCTCCAAAGCACTTACCACAAGAAGGTAGTAAGGCCATAAAGATTTGAGAAATGCATGAATGTGTGACATGCCTGATTAACAAGGTCCTCCACATACTACCTATCGCATGGTTTCAGCAGCTGTCAGAAACACAAGTGAAAATGCATGGGATAAAATTGCCGTTGAAAATATACACACCTCTGGAAGCTGCTTTGGTACACGTATCTGGAGATGTGGGTTATCATCTATCTGAAATCTCACAGGGTCAACTCTACCCTTTCTGTATCCACGATCAACAACTTCCTCACCATGATGCCAGTAATAGTTAACTTCAGGGTTGAGATCTGAAACAGAACAGAGGGATAAACAGCAACCGATATTGCTCCTCTGCAGTTAGTACCCTCCCAATTCTTGTTCTGTAAATGCAGAAAAATAGAAAAACCAAAATCTACTCGCGTCATGTGGGACAAGAGACATGAGATAAATCATCAGTAATGGTCTCAACACCTATATCAGCAACAGTTCTGCCGGGTTCACAGACCGGCCCCACAGCCCCACGGCTCCCAGTTCCCTCTCCCTCCACCCCCGTTCCGCACCAAGGGACGAGGCAGCCAGCAGCGGATTGCGACAGGACAGGAAGGCAGCGAGAGTGGACACGAGCTGCGTTAGGAACGGGCCGGGCGTATGATCCTGATCGCGGTACAGCAACGGCCGCTTCTTATTCTGGTAGAAGCTCTCCTGAAGGAGAGCGTCGCAGGCGAGGGAGCGCAGCTCGCCAACATCCAGGCTCGGCGTCGCTCCTGCCGCGGGCTTCGGGGTTTTCGC